TTTCATAAACTTATCTAAAGCTTACAAATGAGCTTAGTTTTCTCAAAATTATTTAAAAATAAGGTGAATAGAATGAGACCTATGTACCACGTGCACCATGTCACCACTCAATATCCATGGCAACGTTTATAAAAAATACATAGAATGAGTTTTATTGAACTCCTAACCTCATGGAATGAATATCACATGTCTTGCCATCTTAACTAACAATAATTTATGGTCTATTCATTCACATAAATGTATTTAAATGTATAATAAATAAATTACATCCACACTAAAAACAAAAGAGACTCAAATTACTCTTTTTATTCTCTATGATATTCAACATTATATTCTAAAGTATTAACGCTAAAAAAATTCAAAATTTATTAAAAAAAAAAAATTACTTAAAGTTACATCATGCATGGGGGCAATGCCTGGGTCATACACTAGTTAGCAATTATATCTATCATATTAACCAAGTGTATATATAATAAAGTAAGTCTTGTAAGGCGGATTTATGTCAATTGTATAATAAGACCGTCAATTTATTTGAGGAGAACTTTAATTTTTAACGAAAATCTCATTGGTAGCCATGTAAAATTGCACATTCTCAATGGTAACAAATTTTTTTTTTTTTTTTTTTTTTTTTTGAAATTCCTTACTTTTGATAAGTTTCTCTTACCTGACAATGTATTTGTAATTAACATAATTAAAAAAGAATTCAGTTAATAATAAACATTAATAAAAAGCTTCAAAAAAACCAGCCACCCTGCTCCCCACCCTAACTACCTCTACCAACACCGCATTATCCCTGCCGAGTGCACGGCGCCAGCAACACCCACCTCAACCCTGACCTCTAAACCACTTTCCCCCCTCTGATTGATTCTTCTCACAAAATGCACATAAACAAACATTCCCAATCTCATGGTCATCAAGATTATCACACACATTTAGGGTTTCAATTTTGCCGAATTTGCTGAGTTCCTCAAATTTATCTTCAATAAATCCTCAAAATGAAATTGCAGAGTTTCGGCGAAAATTGGCTGACTTTGACGTCGATACTAGGAGCAATCATGTTGGAATGCTGATACATTTTGGAGAGGAGAAGATATAGTGGGTCAATTATGGAGTTTAGAGCAGTGATCTTCATGGCGGCATGCGTCGATCTTGAAGTAGAAAGGGGAGTTCACACGATCTTTCTATGTGCCGAAAATCGATGCAAACGTTCCACCATTGCTATCGGAGGTTAATTCTTCAAGCTATTAGGGGAAGGTGGTTCAGGGGAAAAGGAAGGTGGTTTTATGGTCGGGGTCAAGGTGGGATGTCGTCGGCGCCACTCAAGCAGATTTAGGGGTAGTACGACGCCGGTGGGGATGGCCGGGGTAGGGAGCAGGGTGGCTACCTGGCTGGGGTGGCTGTTTTTTTTTTTTTTTTTTTTTTCATTTTTTTTATATAGTTATTAATTATCTTAATTCTTGTTTAATTAAGCTAATTAGTTGTTAATTACAAATACATTGTCATATTAGAGAAACTTATCAAAAGTAATACTATTTTAAAGAATTAGTAAAAATTTTTGTTACCATTCAGAATGTGCAATTTCACATAGCTACCAATGAGAATTTCTCTAATTTTTATATTAACTTTAATCCCTTGAAAGGGAAACTATTAAATTGTAACGAGTTTGATATATTTCAATGGGTACTTTCTTTTGGATACATGTTATGAAGGCTAATATGGCTAATCTAATACATTACAAATGTTTTTTAAGGGTAAATTTTATGTTAAGAAGATGGTAGTATAACGATTAATTTAACCCGTCTTGCTATAACTTAATGAAAGTCAACCTTAATCAATAATTTGTGTCTTTAGTGTGCCTTAACATAAGTAGTATAATTCTTATATTAAAGATCCACTTTAACTTCTCAAAAACTTAAGAGGTAATAATAACACTTTTTTTTCCTATGAAAAAATACAACTCTATACACTTTTGATCTAACTGTTGAAGGACCAACTCAACCAAAAGGTTAAGTTGATGGTTAATGCTTAGGAATATGTTATATACTCTATCTGTTAGAATTCGACTCCATTTGATGTATTAGAGGCCCTTTACATGCTTTCCTAAAGTTTACTTTTTGTTTTCTATGCCTGAGATCCCATTATTGTGTTATTGTTAGTGCAGTGTTCACTAGGGATTCTCCTTGTAATCAAATTAAAGTTCTTTAGAGGGTGAATGATTGAAATGAAATCTTAAGCCTTCTACCAAGTGTTGCCTTGCTTTTGTGCTTCTTTGTTGTTAGACCTTTATATATATTGTGTCTTACTTACATAATAGCTCTTCTCCAAACCAACTTGATGCATTAAGGACACGTGGTTTAAATCCACTACCTGTGCTCACCTTGAAGTATCGGTCATCACAAGCCTCGACCATCAGCACTTTGTCGCACAAATAGACGAGAGTGTTCTTGAGATTCAATTGCCGCTGGTGTTGCTCTATGCTCACACGCCCCTCTTCCGCACAAGGCTAGCGTTCTTGCTGCCAAAAGGCTAGAGCGCGCCACACGTTTTGGGGCTCAAACTCCCAGACCGTGATACTATCACTCCCCTCACATGAAAGCCCGTTGGGTTTGAAATGTGGATGTAGCATGAGCCCCATCATGCCCAGTGTTTAATATTCAACTTTGAAAAAAGGGGCGGATGAGATTCGAACCCGTGACCTTTGTGTCATGCTGGCTCTAATACTATATTGGAAGAACAACTCAACGAAAAGCTTAAGCTGATGGTTGAGGTCCAGGAATATGTTATATACTCTATCACTATATATGTCCATCTCTTGTGTTGGATTACTTGGATACAATATTATTTGAATCAAAGAGGATTTCTAAGCCGCTACTAACTTGAATCTTTGATGACTCTAATAGCGTCCACTAAATAATAATTTGTGTGTCTATTGATATTAAGTTGTGCTTACATGTTATCATCTTAAGATCATCCAAGATGTTTATTAACTTATAGCATTTGTTAGTACTACACTTCTACGAGTAATAAACACTTACTATGGGTTACTAAAATAAGTGGTACTTTTTAAGCACGGTTTTATACCAACTGAAAGAAATCTTTTCCGTGAGTATTTCATTCCACTTACTGTCAATATATACAATATACAAGGTAAAGTCAAGCCACTAATTAAGCTAAGGGATATACATCAAATATTCTAAGCTACAAATCAGGAAACTAAATATATACAAAGTAAAAGATATATTATGAGTAATATATCTTAACACACCCCCGTAGTCAAAGCGAGAGGAGAACGAACACTTAGACTATCTCTGAAATCCTCAAAAAGTACCCGTGGGAGTCCCTTAGTGAAGATGTCCGCAATTTGATGCCTAGAGGGAACATGGATGACTCGGACTTCACTTCTAGCCACCTTTTCATGAACAAAAAGTATGTCCATCTCAATATGCTTGGTCCGTTGCTGATGTACCGGATTACCCAAAAGATAAAAACTACTAGAAAACAGCTCATTTCCGATGAAAAATTTTCGTAAGAAACACCCTAAAATCCGTCGGAAAAGGGGTTTACGACGGAATTCCGTCGGAAGTGGTTGTCGGAAAACGGTTTGTAGGAAAAAAGACACTTCCGATGTAAAATTCCGTCGGAAACACTGTTTCGACGGAATTTCCGACGAAATTTTCCGTTGTTTGATATGTTTCGGCACCGAAAAAGTCCGTTGAAAGTTTATGACGAAATAGTAAATCCGGTCAAAAACTTCCGGCGGGAATTTAGTTGGAAAGTTATTTTATGCATTTAAAAAAACGCCGCGCCACCACCGATACGACGTTCACCACCTCCAACCACCCAAAACGTCGTTGTCTACCCCACCCTAAACGACCCACCAGCTCCCACTACTTCACCTTTACCAAACCCACAACCCCACTACACCTTAACCAAACCCACCACCCCACTTCACCTAACCCACACCCAAACCCAAACCCAGATCCACTGTAACCAACCCACCCACCTAAAACCACCCAGATCCACCTTTACCGACCCCCTAATCGAACCCACCCACCAACCTAATCGAACCCACCCACCAACCTAATTGAACCCACCCAAACTCACACCCTCTAATCGAACTCACCCAAACTCACTCACACACTAGATAACCGAAAATATAAAAAAAAATTAAAAAAAAATTAAAGCTGAAAACACAAAAAACAAACCACCACACCATGGAACCAGTCACCTTATCCACACCCACCACGGTGCCACCAATCGTAAAAAAAAAATTAAAAAAAACAAAAAAAAATATTTAAAGAGTCGAAAAACATACCTTAATACTCGAAATTGGCTTTGAATTACCGAATTTGGTTTAAATAGGCCAAATTCGACCACAAAAACTTTAGATCTAGACTTTTTATGGTTGAATTTGACCAAAAAAACCATTAATGTCTGAAATATTGGTGGAGATGGGGAACGAAAGAGGAGTAGAACGAAAGAAGAGAAAATGTTGCTGTCGATGAAATAGAAGATGTTGTTGATGACGATGTTGCGGTGGTGGTGGGAGATGTGAGGTGGTAGTTAGAGGGGAAAGAAGAGAAGATGAAATATAATGTGAAAGAGAAGAAAATAATGGCAGAGGAAAAGAGAAGGAGAACGAAGAGGAGAGAGAAGGAGAGGGAAGAGGAGATAGAAGAGAGAAGAGGAAAGAAAGAGAAATAAAGAAGAGGAAAGAAGGAGGAGCGGCGAATAGGTTATTTAGGGTTTGTAATTTTTTTTAAAAATTAAATTCCGTCGGAAATCCGTCGTAAATTTCCAACGGAATAAAAATCAGTCGAAAAAGGTAGTTTTCGACGGAAAAATCCGTCGGAAAGTACATATCTTCTGACGAATTTTTATTTGGTCGGAAATTTGCGACGGATTTCTGACGAAATAGGTTAATCCGTCGAAAATAACCGACAGAATAGAAATCCGTCGAAAATTTCGACATTTTTGACGGATTTCTAGGCCCGTCGGAACTAATCCGTCGTTATTTGCCTGTTTTCTAGTAGTGAAATAGCACTCACATTGTCAAAATACACCAATGTATCCTTTTTAATCGGACAATGTAGCTCCAATAACAAATTCCGAATCCAGCATGACTCAGAAACCACATTAGCAACTCCCCGGTACTCTGCCTCTACACTAAACTTAGAAAGAGTATCTTGGCATTTAGAGGACCAAGAAATCAAATTATCACCCAAAAATACACAATATTCGGACTTAGAGCGTCTCGTATCGGGACACCCACCCCAATTAGCATCAGTATAAGAAATAAGAGAAGAATTAGATGATGGATATAGATGTAAACTGTGCTCAAGAGTACCTTGTACGTATCGAGTGATACGTTTAAGATCTGCCATATGAGTGCCCTTCGGGTCGTGCATATGCAAGCAAACCTGTTGCACGGATAAGATGTATCCGGCCTTCTAAAAGTGCGATATTGTAGCGCCCCACCAAGGCTGCGGTATAGCGTCAGATCTGCAAATGGGGAATCCGAAGCACTGATCTTTGGCTTAACTTCAACTGGAGTAGCCGAAGGCTTACACGAGTTCCTCCCTGCCCTGTCAATGATTTCCTCAGCATATCTTTGTTGTGACAAAAATAATCCACCTTTATGCCTTGTCACAATAATACCAAGAAAATAATCAAGAGGACTAAAGTCCTTCATAGAAAACTCTGAGCTAAGACGGAACATAATAGATCGCCGTAGAGCATCATTAGAAGTGGTAAGAATAATATCATCAACATATAGCATCAAATAAGCCACATCCTTACCAACACGGTAAATAAAAAGAGAAGTGTCACTCCTACTAGTAGTAAAACCAATAAAAGCAACAAAATCAGCAAACCTCTTGTACCAAGCTCTGGGTGCCCATTTAAGACCATATAATGACTTCCGTGGTAAACACATATAATCAGGGTGAGTTCGATCACGGAAACCAAGAGGTTGATGCACATAGACAGTCTCTTTAAGCTCACCATGTAAAAAATCATTCTGCACATCAAGTTGATGAATTTGCCAAGATTAAGATAAAGCCAAGCTAAGAATAGTACGGATGGTAGCCAGTTCGACCACCGGACTAAAAGTCTCACCACAATCAATGCCAACCAGTGTTTTGCCATCACCTACAAGACGGATTTTATGTCTCTCAAAATAAAACCGTCAGATTTCACCTTATGAGTAAAAATCAACATAGAACGAATAACATTAACATCAGGTGGATGGGGCACCAACTCCCATGTCTTATTATTAATAAGAGCATTAAATTCATCATCCATAGCCATTTTCCAATTCGGGTCACGAAGAGCAGAACTGGGGTTACGAGGGAGATGGGATTTTGTAACATTTGAAACCATAACAATTAAATTTTTATATTTTGGATTAGGTTTAATAATACCATTTTTGCTTCTTGTGACAATAGAAGGAGGAATAGGATTGGAAGATGGAATTTGTGGGCTTGAAAAGGAGATAGGAACACTTTGGCTGACTGTATGGGTAGACTGCAAGTGGGTCGTGGCTGATTGAACAAGCTCACGGTTCGCTTGTGATCTATCTGCCCAATAGAAGCCTCCATTCTAGGAGAGGGAGATGGGCCACAGTCTGGGCTGGTAAGAGGAGAAGAGGTGCGGTTTGGGATGGAGGGTGATGTTGAGACACGCAGCCAGAGTAGGGGGGAGAAACCGAAGGTGGGCTAGGTGGGGCAGCCTGCCTAGGTGGGGATTGGGCCGGTTGAGTGGGTTTCCCAGCCATGCTTTGCACATGGTGAAGAATAGAGGGATAAAGACCCTTATCCAAGAAGTCATAGGAGTAAGACGTGGGGGGAATGCAACTTGGCAAAAGAAAAAACCGATTCATCATACACAACATGGCGACTTATGAAATTGTAACCCCTATGATTGGACGGGAACCCCAAGAAGACACATGGTGTAGAACGGGCTTGGAGTTTATTAATAGTAGTGGACGGAAACAAGGGGTAACACAAGCAACCAAAAACACGGAGATGAGAATAAGACGGTTTCTTTTGATATAGAACCTCAAGAGGAGACTTACACTCTAGTAATTTACTCGGAAGTATATTATGAAGATAAGTAGCCATTTATAATGCATGATGCCAAAATGATGGAAGTAAAGATGCATGTTCAAGAAGAGTGCGAATAATATTAATCAATGATCTAATTTTGTGCTCGCCCCTTCCCATTTTGTGTTGAAGTATGTGGACAAGAAAGACATTATCATTAGACTCACACAAAGCCCAAAAAGGTCCATTATCATACTCCCTCGCATTATCACATTGAAATGTTTTAATAGGTCGTTCAAATTGGGTTCTAATTAATGCTTGAAAAGCCAAAACTTTATCATAAACATCCGATTTCTTAGCTAATGGGAATGTCCACAAAAACTTAGAATAATCATCCAAAATAAGCATATAATATCGATGGCCCGATGAGCTCAAAACAGGTGATGACCAAAGATCACTATGAACAATATCAAAAGGCATAGTAGTAGAAGTAGAAGAAATAAATGACAATTTAATATGCTTTCCTATTACACAAGAATGGCAAACACTTGAGCTAGAGGAGTGAGTGCATTCAATGTTTTTATTTTTACTAAGAGTCTTTAAAACAGAAGATCCTGGATGTCCCAATCGATCATGCTAAAAGGAAGAAGCTAAAGCAGTAAAGGTTGATGGAGAAGAACATAGTAGTGAGTGGATAAAGGTCCCCTTGGAAATCACATCTCATTTTTGGCATCCCCGTCCAATAATCCTTCACAGAAAAACCATAAGGGTTAAAATCAATAGACACATAATTTTCAGTTGTAAATTTACGAACAGAAATTAGATTTTTAATGAGTTTGGGGCATGAAGGACGTTAGAGAAGGACAAAGGAGGAATTGGGGATGGTAAAGTAGTATTACCATAACCACAAATTGGAATTGAATGACCACTACCAACAATAATACCATTATGATGATTGCTCAAATTAAAATAAGACGAGAAATTTGAAAGAAATGGTGTCCTTCGAACAAGTGTATTATTCTGATAGCGGGTTCAGCATTATTAGAAAGCTAATATATTCAGTAAGGTCAAGTGATCGGAACGCCTGGGCGGAGGCTGCTTCCAACCAGTAATATTAATGTATAATTAATATTACATCTTAATCTTGACTGAACCCTTCGGGTCACACCCTAGCAAATATACGAACCGACTCGACGAATTAATTCGAAAGAAATTAATTTGTCGCCCGAGTATTAAATATTTAGACGTCGGAAATTCGAGCTTAGAGCGTCGAAACCGAGCGTCGGAAGTCGAGTCAAAATAATAAAAGACGAGACATGAAAATAATAAATCAACAAGACCAAAATTCCCCTAGCATCGGAATGCCCCGAGAAAACCGAGTGCTAGGGGAATTTAATATAGCATGGTGGCTAGCATGCGCACAAAGCCGAGCCTAGGCTGGCTGCTGCGTGCTAGCGCACCAATGCTAGCAGCGCTGGCCAACGCGCGCAAGGAGCATCAACTCTCAACAGCAGCCCGCATCCTTGATGCGTGGCTTGCTGGCTGAGAGCACGAGTAGGCCGCACAAGTTGTGCTGGGCTTGCTGGCCAGCAGCGCCTAGCAGCCCGCACGCTTGTGCTGGGCCTGGTGGCAGCCGCACGTGGCAGCCCACCTTAGGTGCCTTGGTGCCCAAGTGTGGTGCCATGTAAAGTAATTTGAGAGGAGGTTTGAGGGGTGTGTTGGCCGGTTTTTGGAGAGGGAGTGGGGAGCAAGTTTGGTCCCCCCTCGCCTCCAAATGGTCCTCACCTAACCTCTCTCATGAGCTTGCCACTTGTTGATTTATTACTAGTTTGATTATTTACTTTATTTTAGCTTTAAAATAAAATGGAAAAATCAAATTCTCCCACATTGATGGGAGAACCTTTTCACTCTCTTGTTTTCCCAATAAATACCCAAGTTGGGGTATTGGGAAAATCACTTGAGTGAGAGTTGAAAAAGACATCACCATTGTGAAAACCTTTGAACTCATTTAATCGCTTGGGATTTGGTCGGACCTTGCTAACTCCAAGGTAGCAGACCTAAAAGTCGGTGTTCGTCCTTTGTGGGTGGATATCGTTGGAGGCTAGGTATTTTCGGAGCTAAAGCTTTCACGTAAGAGCCCATTAGGTCGGGCGAAGCACGCGTCAAAGGTAAATTTCGATTTTATCCTTTTATATTTATTTTTTATGCTTTATGGTTTTATTAATTGCGAGGGGTTCTTTGGTTCGGGGTCGTTTCCGCGGTAAGTGGACTTACCAAACCCCAACAGCGGTATCGGAGCCACGCTCGTTTAATTTTAAAATCATAATATTTTTCAAGATGATTTTTATGGCTTAATTTTTCTGGTTTAAGTTGCTAATTAGATTAGTAGCTCGTATTATCTAATTTAACCTCGTATTTAAGCTACCTTTAGCTCCGAACCCAGATTTTGACCCAAAAATAGTGAATTTTGGGTGGAAAATGTGTTCTGGAAATGGTTTTTTTCTTCCAGGGGGCGGTTTTTTAGCCAAAAAAACGATCATAAATGCTATTTTCGAGGGTTTTTTTTTCGTTTTTACGAAATTTTTTAAGTCTTTCTAACCTTGAAAATTAATTGCATATTTATGGTGGTTATGTAATTGGTTCAATACATATTTTATATGCAATTTTAAACCTCTTTAGGCATGATTACTTTGTAGTAATTTGTACTTGAATGCTTGGTTTTATTTTTTCACATAATTGCAAACTAATTGCATTAAGTGTGAAATTGTTGTTCTTTGAGGCTTCCAAGTATTAAAGATTCAATCTTTAATTATGTTAAGTGATTGAAACTTTATATTACTAAATTCCATGAATTTTTATTAAACTTTATTGATTTAATCATTTTTTAGTTGATTGGAATCATAAAGTTTAAAACTTTGTGATAGAAAAATTGTTTATCTTTATATTAGAAGATATAATTGTTCAAGGATTCACAAGTATTAAAGTTGGAATCTTTATTGAATTTATGTTCATTTTTTCAACTTCCTCTTATTTTGTCAAAAACTCAAAGTTAATTTAAATTAATTAAATTAATAGTGAGTATTGGTCCTATTATTTTTGTTGCACCAAGTTAATCCAATTTAATTAAAGAATGGTTCTTGGGAATTATTTTGGTTACATGCACTTTTTAAAATTTTTTATTTAAGTTAGACTTGTTTAAATTTTTAATTTTGCTCATTAAATTAGTTCTAAAATTAATGTAGAATTAATTACGAAAGTCACGCAAAATTTGAGATCAAATCCTGAGGCTAATGGCACGCAAAACAAGGCATGAGCGCCCTTGGCTAGCCGGGCTGCATAGCAGCCCGCATGTGGCTGCCAATGGGGGTGCCATGCCCTGTGCGTGCAGCCGTGGCGTGGCTGGTGCGCACGGCCGCAAGCAGCAGCACGCTACCATGTGCGTGCGTGCGTTTATGCTGTGTTGCATAGGGCTGCTGTGGCGCGGGTATGTGGGGCACGAGCACATGGTGCATCGCTTGGGACTTGGTGCATGCGTCGTGTAATTAGGGGTATGCGTAGACGTTGCTTGCGAAGCAATGTAGTGTGTAAGGAGGGTGATCCCATCGTAAGGGGTACTCTCCTTAAATGCCCATGGTCGCTTAAAAGTCTAGGGCTTTAAACTTGCTACGGTGTATTAGGATTTGAATTCCTGACTGTTTGGGAGACCTTGAATTAGAAATGATACTCCCATCACGCTTTTTTGTAAGAAACAAGTAGGAGTCGCCAATGAGTTTTAGGAAAACTCATAAACCTCGTTCATGTCTTTCTTCCATGTGGAATTCATGGAATAATTAGCACAAATCATAAGTTTACCCATGCCCAAATTGGTCTACATAAACCAGAAATGAGTTCGGGAGCGAGGGTACTAAAATAACGTTCCTTTTAGGGAGGAATCGCTATTCTAGCCCTAGTACGGCCTCTACTAGCTCTTCCTTTTTCACAATTTCATTACCAAACAATATATGCAACGTGATACCTAAAGACTAAGTTAGTTGATTTTATTTACATGCATTAATCACATAGGAATTACATTGCAAAAGTCGTTATTCTTATTTAATAATATTCGTGAAAGAACAATAAATGAACAAGATTCGCCTTGTCTTAAATGATAAAGCAAAAATTAATTATTCAAATTCTAGTCTTGATTAACGAAAGAGTACTATGTGAATTAATTAATTAATAGTATGTTTAAAGTGATCAAACAACACTAATTAATCAATTAAAGTTATTTAAACAATAAAAGAAAAGTGATTTATCTAAGTGCTCAGGAAACTAACCGTTCTTCTTTTATGTTAAATC